GAGGACCAAGGCCTTGGCATGGATAGGAGGGTGCAGAATAGACTGCCTCTCCCTGTACCCCTCTCTCAAACATTTTAAGGACACACTTTCTCCTACAGGACTCCAGAAAGCAGGTTCTGAAGAGTTACTGTAATTATGAATTTCAGTTGTGAGCTGCAAAATCTTATGGAAAAATGTCCAGTGCTCTGAAGGAATGAATTTACACCAGTCTTTCTCCCATCCATCTTTTCCTGATGGCTTGCAATTGCAGAAGCTAGACTAACTAAAGCATACCAATACTTTTGGTTTTTTAAATATCATGTTTGAGCTTTTGTTTTAAAATAGCAGTATGAAATACTGACTTTTTCTGGTACTTCTAGACCTTTCCTAGGCTTTGATTAGCTAACAGAGGACTGCTTTTGTTTCTGTTAATGGAGTGGATGTCTGGTTTTGGCAGATGTTTCGTTCTTGGCTTCCATTTTGTATCAAGAACCAACAGAAAAACTGAAGAAGGGTGATTTACGATAGTAATAATAGTGTTAGTAACATCTCCTTAGCCTTCATCTGTTTCCTAACTGAAAGTAATTAAGGTGCTATGACTATATAAATAATTAATAATGTTATAATTAATTTTATATCTTTGTCAAATAATGTTTCCACCATCTGGGAGAAAATTACTATTCTGGTTAGGCTAATGTTGGATTGCTTGCAGTGTAAGTGTTGGAGTCCAAGAAATAGAACAAGGACAAGAAAGGAGACAAATAACATAATGATTGTTTTCATTTGTCTCTAAGGAAGTCTCAAAAACCATGTAAATGTTTTATGTTCTCATGAAAACACATGATTTTTATTGCCCTTAAAAAAAAAAAAAAAAGACCTTCAAAATAAACAAATTCAACTTCCTTGCCTTAGAAAAGTTAGTTTTAATTGGGCTAGTTACATATGTTTTGACAGTATCAGTGTCAAGTTATGATAATGCTGCATGACCATAATAATGCACACATCTGAGAAATGCTGCCTTTCCTAATGGAAATTAATAAAATCTTGTTCCTTTACTGTAAGTTGCACAGTGTGGGATGGATGAACAACGTTGTGTGCTCCTCTCTAGAGAGTTTAGTATAAAACAGCTCCAGATTTTGTTTCGTGATCTCAGAGCTGGCTGAATAACTCCAGCCTTCCATAGCTCCAAATGCTGACATGCAGGGAGATGAGACTTTCGGATATTAAAAGCCTGCCCTGTGATACTGAAGGAGATTAGGTTTTGGAATCCATTCATTGACAACAAAGGCCAATGCTGAATGAAGGTTATATTTATTGTCTATGAAGCCCCTGAGTTAGCTGAAATGACTTCAGGCATGTACATCCATACATGTATTCTGTCACATTTAGCCAGCTCCCCATGACGCTGGTTTCTTTGGGCCAGAGAACTTTCAGGGGCTTGGCTTAAAAAGATGTGTGCATGTAACACCCTCTGTCACATTTTACAAGAGGCTACAATCAAGCAGTCTTTATCTTCAGATTGTCTAGACACTGTGACTTAGTGGGAGAGGGCAAGCGAAAGAAAAAGCCCTTTTTGTCTGTCATTCACTTTGCATCAAATTCTCCTTCCCTGTGTGCTGCCATTGCCAGCAAAAAGATAAAGGGAGCAAAAACCAAACAAAAATCAAGAAACTGGTAATTTGCTGGTTTTCTATTCATTCCATTCCTAGTAAAAAGAAAATGCCAAACTATTATTTTTCTGAGACTACCAATACATATTTATACCATCTCCTTGTTTATTCACTTTTTTTTCCAGAATTAATGCTTTGAACAATTTTATTTTTGCAGTCGATGTGTCATTTTAATTTTTAACTCCTCCATGTGTAAATGAAGTGCATAGGGCTGTCTTATTGGCACTTACAATTTGGCACATGAAATCTTCCCATGCTTCAGCAGAGATCTTTTTCTTTGTTCAGCTGGACATCTGTGGATGAGCAACAAGAAAACCCGTTCCCCACACTGTTCTCCCAGATTTCATGTTTCTTGTCTCTTTTTCCTCTTCTTTCATTTTCTTTTATACTTTTTCCCATGGAAACACATGGGAAAAAAAAAAGAGGAGAAACAGAGCTAGGAGGGGAAAGGGAGGAGGCAACAGAGTTTCAGAGGGAGGTAAGTTTGCAAGCTAACAGAAGGGCTGCTGAGATTCTTCTTTAAATAGCAGAGCCTGCATATCACTTAACTGTTTTGAGGTGAATAAAAGTATTTTCCAGCACTTGCGCCTTTTAACCAGTCTGCTATAATGGGTCACTCTTCCCTGTTTGGACGGTCAGCACCTGCCTTGGTTTTCTACTCCAAACCAGGACAGCACCTCTCTACCCTTTCTCTCAAGCTGGGATTTCCCTTGTGACACCTCCCATGCAGCATTTGCTTGCTGCCCACGTTTTGCTCTGCAGGTGCCAGAGGCTCGCTTTCACAGAGCTGGAGCAGGCTCCAAGCGGTGAGTCCCAGACTCATCTCTCCCACCTGAAGCCCCACTGGGCTCTGGCCATGTCGACAGTGGGGAGAAGAGCTGTCTTGCCTTCCCTGTGCTCCTGCTTTACTCCCTGGCATTGCTCATTGGGCTTCTTAGCTCTGAGAGGAGCTGGGGAAGCCTCGCCTCTGAGTGATGTCTCCAAACAGAGAGTCTTCAGAGCCAGACCATCCTGCTGTTGAAACGGGTAAAAGCAGCAGAGATATCCCTGCAAGCAGTTTTTCACAGCCGATACAAAGCTGGCTGGGGCACCACAGACCCCATTGTGGTCCCTGTGGGCTCCCCTGGAGTCATTGATGGTCCCAGGGATGTGCAGCCTTCAGGCCCAGCACAGTAGCCTGCTCCTCCAGCAGCAGCCCAGCTGCCAGGGCAAGCAGTGGCTGGAGGCTGGCACAGCTGCCACGGTAACTGTTTGGCAGGCTGCAAGGGCAGAGTCAGGAGACCTTGTTTCTGTTCGTGTGATGACCTCAAATGTTTTGGTGGGGGAACTCCACTGAATGGTTGTGCTGTCTTGAAGGAAATAAAGAAATGCAAATAGGGCACCTTTAAGTTAAGCTAGAGCAAGAGATGGCAGACCTGTGCAGGCAATATAGCTCAAGGAAGTACATTTAAAAGGTGCTTCTTTTTCTGGATAGGCTTATAGAATAACTTAAAGTATCTTCAAATTGTAGAAAATAGCCTTCAACAGAAGGCGTTTTTTTTAATTAGGCAGGTTAGATTTAGGAAGCACGTATCCAGACTGTGGACTGTCACAGACAAATAGGAAGCTGCTGCATAATTTTTCAAGCATTAACAGTGGAAAAATATGCTTTTTCTGCATTCCGTGAGTTTGTCAAAGCCAATTTCCTGTGTTGATGGTGGGTTAAGGCATACAAAATAGCCAGCCTGGCAGCTTCAGAAAAATGAGGATATTTGAAGAAGGACAGGCTTTTTATTTGTCCTAAGTGACAAATATTGGCTGAAATTTGAAAACAAATTGGAGGGGAAGGGGGAGTGTGATTTGCTATATTTTCCTTTGTTTTTCTGTTCTCTGCATTTTCTCTCTATTATATAGAGTCTATTCTGGACAAAGTATGTCTAGTATGTGTGATTTTTTTAAGATTTTTCTGTTGTGACTGCACTTCTTTTGTCTTCAGTTTAGAGTATGTTGTTTGTCTTCCAGGTTACATATAAGAGTTGCCATACCAGTTCAGATCAAGGGTGCATGCAAACAAGTATCTGATTCCCTAGATTCATCACACTCAGCTTCATAAACTTAGAATTGTTGTGTCTAGATTCAGCTTAAGTCAATAGGAAAGAGTTCAGTAACACCAGCACATAGATTATAAGATACTAGAGCTTGCAGGTGGAAAGCAGTACTAGGTGACAGAACTAGCCTTGCAGGGCCGCTTCCAAGATGTGGCGAATTGCCCTCTCTCTCCCTCCACCTGGAGAGAAGTAGGCACCTAAAATTAAGAGACATTAACCCAGACCTTGGTAGTGTCCGAGGAGGGTGCTGAACAAGAGGTTACAAGAATTTAAAAACTTAGAACAATTTTTTCCAAGCCATACTCTCTGTTTCCTCCTGTCCATGATCTGGACTTTGAGATGCTCTGTATTTGATGTGTTCATTCTTCCATGCCTTTCTCTAGTTTCTTAACTCACCTATAGCTTTGGCAGCTCCACCTTCTGCTACCAGCAGATTATCAACTCATTGTGTCTGCTTTTCTGCCTGTTACACAGACCTCCAGCAATGGAAAAAGGTTGTATTGCCTTTAGGTGAAGTCAACTCTTGCGCAGTTGGCAAGGTCAAACATGAACCACGAGCTAAGTGCATCACTCTGTATTTTGGAGGGCAGACTTGGACACCTCCAGCTGCACTTTTTGGCCGAGTCCTTTGCCTGACAGTTGTGCTCTCCTACCAAAGGGTGAGTGAGAAGGGTTCCAGCCTCTGAAGCCCTCTGTGCAAGCCATTCCCTGGCAGGGCTCAGCAGTGGGCAGCCACTACCCTAAGAGCAGACGGGACCTCCTTCCCCAGGCCTCAATGGGAAACCACTGCAAGAAAGATTCTGTGTGAGCTTTTCCAGCAAGGTGGGGATCAGTCTGTTTTCCCAAGTAACAGGTGATAGGACAAGAGGAAGTGGCCTCAAGTTACAGCAGGGGAGGTTTCAGCTGGATATTAGGAAAAATTTCTTCACAGAAAAGGTTGTAAAGCACTGCAACAGGCTGCCCAGGGAAGTGGTTGAGTCACCATCGTTGGACGTGTTTAAAAGATGTGGCACTTAGGGACATAGTTTAGTGGTGACCTGGCCCTGCTCGGTTAACGGTTGGACTTGATGGGCTTAAAGCTCTCTTCCAACATCAACGATTCTGTGATTCTGTGTTGCTGTTTATATTCAAACTCTTGTGAGGTTTTTTCAAAGCACTTAACTTCTGAGCAGTGAACTTAACTTGATCCTTATCATATGTGAGTTTGGGGGAGATCTGGTGAGCATTAACGTGTCCTTTCCTTCCTCTCCTAGGATTTTGGATAATGGGCTGTGTGCAATGTAAGGATAAAGAAGCAACAAAACTGACTGACGAGAGGGATGGCAGCTTAACTCAAAGCTCAGGCTACCGCTATGGGACAGATCCCACTCCGCAGCACTATCCTAGCTTTGGTGTGACTTCAATCCCAAACTACAACAACTTCCATGCCACAGGAGGCCAAGGACTGACTGTGTTTGGTGGAGTCAATTCCTCCTCTCATACAGGGACGCTGCGTACAAGAGGAGGAACAGGTGAGTTTCAAAACGTACTTTTAGTGCTCTTAGTGGGACTCAGTCACATAGTTTCAGCAGAGGCACAGCTGTCTCAGCATTTGGGAAGAGCTGTATCATAAAATGGTGTAAAGATTTGTAGTAGAGGTGGAGCTGGGTCTTCAGCCCTACCTTTGCTAAGTTGCAGGTGCTAGTTCACTTTGGGAGGTTAGAAATCATAAATACATGACAAATTTGGCTGACTGCCTCTTCCCTGTACCATGGAATGGAAAATGTGGTCTCTAACTACACCTCAAGTAGTTAACAGGAAATACTTGGCATGGGTATGTCTAAACTCTCTCTTAAAATGTCCTGTGTCCACCTAGGATCCTACACTGTGTGTGGATTCTAAACCAAGAGTCCTGATGGCTGTACAGAGTGAAGGAGATGGCGTGCCCTCTGGCTTCACAAAAGCAGAGGAGTTACAATGGTTGTCCAAGAAGTAGGAGGCTTCAGTTTGTGTTGCTTCTCAGCAGCCTTAGTAGCTTACATTTGGCTTAGCCACCTTATCTCTTGAGGCTCCTTTCCCTCCTGTTTTTTTGTGAAGGAGTGTAACTCATCTATCTTCTTCTTTAGGTGTAACTCTTTTTGTGGCGCTTTATGACTATGAAGCAAGAACAGAAGATGACTTGAGTTTTCACAAAGGAGAAAAATTTCAAATACTTAACAGCTCGTAAGTTTTAGGCTTGGGAATATGCTTTTTAATATTTTTAAACTTATAATGGTGACAGTTATATTTGCCTGCTCATGTTATTAGTAAAATCTGATGTTGGATATTCAAGATATGTAGGGGTTTTACTGCATGGTTACTTGCTAGTCTGTACATTTAGTGCACTTTTGCAAAGTGTTTTATTATTAAAAAATAACCTTCAACCACATGCAGCTTTATATCAAAAGTGTTAGATTGTGTGATTCACTGCTTACATTTCACAGGAAACTCACATTGCAAACTGAGAGTACCAGCTCTGTACTTTGCCAGTAGTCACAGAAGTTCTGCAAGGCATGTACTAACGCTTTTTGTAATCTGCTCTGAGTATCTCTACACAGAATGCAGCTAAATCCTGATTCACAAAAGAGACATTACCCAGACTTGTGTGCCAAGTTTAAAAGCTTTTTTTTTTTCCCTTGTGAATGTAGGTGATACAGTCAGAACTTGCTAGGAAGTTCTGTTAATTGAGAATGCACCACTGTACACTGTACACTTGTCATGCCTTTGGCATGAAAACCCCACTTCCATCCTGGAAATCATCGACTTAAAATTAATGTTATTAACTGCCCGTAGAAAAAAAAAATCCCTTAGCAATTTAAAAATAACATCTAAAACTTGCTGTGCTACTGACCTATATCTGAGCATCTTGTAATTCTCGGCTAAGAAAATGGAGTTGAAAGCTCTGTATTACGTTCAGTATTGCTATCATGTAGAAGTAAAAATGAGTTAACCAGCAAGTATGTTGCTTTCTAGAGGCTTTGTGATACTGCTCTCATCTTTTTTTTTCTTACACTATGTGACAGTGAGGCAAATTCATCCCTGGTGCAACTCCTGTTAATTTTAATAGAACAACTCCAGGGTGGGAGTTTGCTTGATGTGCATTAAGGTTAAAAAAAAAAAAAAATAAAAAAAATCAGGTAATTCTATGGAATATTTCATGAAGCCATGAAGCTGAAGAGCTTTGATGTAGATGAAAGCACAGAAACTTGAGTTATGACTTGTAGAGGGAGCAGCAGTTTAAAAACCTCTCTATTTCTAAATTAGCACTTGGAAAAGAACCCTTTTTTAACCTATCGTCCATTTTTGTTCACGTTCTGTTCTTGAAACAAGAAGAAACTTCACACATTATAAATTCCTCACACACGCCAGCTGATGAAATCAGGGGGTGCTCACTGGGATTTGAGGAGCCATCATACTTGGAGTCAGTAGAGAGATTCCTCCACGTGTGGGCGATTGCAGTACATGCATTCTGATGCAGATAATTACTGCCTGGAGGAATCTTTTCTAAGAGAAAAAAACAAAGAAGCATCCACTGATTTTCTTGTGGGATTATAGAAGCTCAGTTCCTATTGTAGTCAGCTCTGTCTGCTTATAAACACAAACCTAACCACACTCCTGGAGTATGGAGAGCCAAGAGGGGAATCTCCAGAAAGCAGCTTTTCTGTGAGAATGCTTCTTCTCTTCACTTTTTATTTAGAAATTATATGAAAGAAGCCCACTTTTTCCCAGAGTCTGCCAATAGTGCTTGCAACCAGAAACCATGTATGTGCACAAAACTAGTTTGTCTGGAATTTTTGGAGGGGTTTGGATTTTTTTTTGGCTCTCAACAAATGAAATTTGAATTGTTCAGGATAGCAATAATTGAAGTGGCATACAGAGGGTATCCCTGGGATTTGAAGTCAGAAATGATACCAAGGACAGTTTGGGTGAAAGAGGTGCCTGCTGCATTGATTCAGAGCAGAGCCTGACTTTGTGTCTCAGAAAAACTGTGCCATCCCATGCATCCCTACCACCAGTCCCTCACAGCTTCACTACCCCTATTGACTACCCTCCTCCTACGTCAGTTTGGTGTCTAAAATTAAAACCTGTCAAAAAAGTCTGCATTCCTTCTCCTTTCTGGCAGTGCTTTGAGAGATTTAAGCTTCTCTGTCAAAGCAGAGGGGGTTGCTCCTGGTGTTGTGATCATCTACAGGACTGCTTTTTGTCTGCCTAGCTATGATAACATACCTCCATCTAGTGGGCTCTTTGGAGCAGTAAAGAGACAAAATGTAACGGTACAATTTATCAACCACAGTACGGTGTAATCTCTCCGAAATACTCTACAGCAACATATGGGTGAAGGGTTAGCACTTCTGCTGGTAAAAATTAGGGATGTAAACAGATAGGGCCATTTGCCTGACGTACTAATGCCCACAGGGTGTATTAAAAGTGTCAGCTGCCAGCCTCTAGAAAAGCTACTCATTCCATACACTTTTGAATTGTGGAATTGGAAACGGTGACTAATCACAGCTGTTTTCTAGTTGTTTTCCTTAGAGCTCATACTCCTTCAAACTGTTAAAAGAAAGTACAGTTGAAAATTTAAAGTAAGAGCTCACCTCCGCACAGCCTTTCCTGCCAGTAACAGCTTAGACAATATGTTTCTGTGCTTACAGAAGAGGCTGAATTCTCTGGCCACTTCTTACAATAGTAAAAAATACTTTATATAGTAAAAAAAAAATCCCTGTTATACAGAGAGAGGAACTGAGAAAGAGTTTCTAAGTACTACGAAACTATGTCCCACTGCACCAGTGTACAAAAAAAAGTTATGCTAAACGTGGAACGCTGCCGTAAGATGGTCCTGCATGGTTCTCTTCGTATTTAAATGTTATAGAAGAATGGGTGTTTGTTAGTGAAAATGCAACTAAGTCCTTTGCTACTTCAGATACCTCCTCTAGGTGGACAGGAGGGAGGATCTAGGCAATGAAGTGTGATCCGTAAGGGCCATCTAAAGCTCCATGTTGATAGGTGGCTCTTTGATGCCTCTGGGTTTCAGATTAATTATCCCCATAGAATTTAAAAATCTGCAGTGGATGTGACAGTGTTCAGTTCGGCAGCTTTCCTATAGACTCTCTCAAGGGTCTGTATTAGAATAATTGCTATGGAGACAGTTTTCAATATTCTAGTCCAAATCCAGCCCTCACCAAACCTGATTTCACTGGGTTGTTAGGCCTGTTTATGCCATTGTGCTAAGTTTGAAAGACTACGTTACTAATCACTGCTGAAATAGTAACAGGTGTAAAGAAATACATATATTATGTGGGGTTGGATGCAAACAACTTTCTCAGAAGCACGCAGGTGATAAGAGATGAGTTGCTGTGGATTCTTACGCTGTGCAGCTGTGAGTGCTGTTAGCAAAGTCAGATCATTGTCTTTATAGCTGTGTCTCACTCTCACTTTTCTCCTTACCTCTGTTTCTGCAGGGAGGGAGACTGGTGGGAGGCCCGGTCCTTGACAACAGGCGAAACTGGTTACATTCCCAGTAATTATGTGGCTCCAGTTGATTCCATCCAAGCAGAGGAGTATGTTTTCTTTGTGTTGTAAAGACCTATTAGTGCTGTATTTGAAGGAGGTTTGAGCTGGTTTTGATTGATTACAGCAATTTTTCAAATTATTTACATTATTTTTATTTCAATTCGTAGCCACACTGATAAATAAGTAGGTAATTAGTAACAAAAGCAGCACCAGCTCAGTGCTTTTTCAGTGTCAAAACAAAGGCAGAAAACCTAAAGCAACACAGATCTGCTTCCTTTATTCAAATGTCAGCTGTTTTCAAGCTTTAAGTGAACGGTGCCCTTGTTTTTCCTGAACCAACTTGTAGAAATATTTGCAGTCAATCAGTGTACAAACTGTCTATTAAAGAGAGAACGTTGTATCAACAAATACCTATCAAAAGGTAGGACACCTGCAATGCATACAGCAGGCAGCATAATGAGGACATATCTTATACAACCTTGTACAAACAGGATAAAGTGGTTGCATTTGGTTCTTCTACTGAAGTTTTACAGTCATGCTGCAACAAAAATATTGAATACTGGTACATTGCTATGTAAGTCAAATATGTAGTTTATAGCAATATCTGTGAAAATGCTGCTTTTCAACAGCAACACTTTTTTCTGCCCTTTTCCTTGTCTACTCATGCTGCACAACACATACTTCTAATACAGAGTTTGTCACGTAAGCTTCCCACCACAATGAAAGAGACACAGTACGACAGAAATGTTGAATATCCTTGAGTAACCATGGTTTCTGCAAATAGTCCTCCATGTTTGAGCTCTGTGACACTACCTCCTAATTCTATGTAGCATTTGTCTTACTATTTCTGATGTTTTCCTAAGGTGGTACTTCGGCAAACTTGGCCGAAAAGATGCTGAGAGGCAGCTGTTGTCATTTGGAAACCCCAGAGGTACCTTCCTGATCCGGGAAAGCGAAACTACCAAAGGTAAGCTGGACAAAGCTTTTCTGACTGCAGATTAGGAGATACAAGAGGAAAACAGTGCTAAGTTTGTGAAGTAGAATCATAGAATCATTTAGG